GGCGTGGGCTTTAGCAGGCTCTCATCCTTGTAAAGTGCTGCATGCTGTCTCACAGATCACTTTAAAGTACTGTGTACACTGGATCTTACAGATCTACTTTGAGGAGTCCCGACTGTTGGCTTTCAACATTCCGTCTGAATTATTCTGTCTGCTCAACAGTTGGGTGTTGCTATGTTTTGGTCCATTCTCCCTATTATGTCATCCACATGAATTTTCTCCAAACTGGAATCTGGCCTGAGGCTTCTTTTGATCTGTGTGACACTACCTCGGCAGGGGAAGACAGAAGCACTGTCTGTAGTGAACGTGTTCCCTCTCGGAGGCCCTACTCAGGACCGCTGTCTCTTCCCCTTCTCTTTGTTCTGTAGTTGAGCCTTCTCTACACCTGCAGGCCCTCCCCACGCCAGTTCAGAGCATCCAACTCTAACTTCTTCTTCCTGCTGGTGCTGCTGATTGGGCTGTGCTTAGCGATCATACCTCTGACCATCAGCATGGCTCGGTAAGTATTTCTTCATTTTCTAACACAGTATTTGGTTCTGTGACTTGTATCTTGGTATGTTCAAGAACTTGTAACATTCTTCAGGGCTTTTCTAGAGTGTTCTGCCCTCAGAGATCAGTAAGTTCCTGCTGACTTCTCCATACCTACATTTTTTTTTCCTTTGTTTGATCTTGCTATTTTTTACTCCCAGTGCTGGGGAGCAGGCAGAGACAGCTGTGGGATGGAGATGGGCAGATCCCAGGGACTCACTGGCCAGCCAGACGGGTCTAAAGGGTGAGCCCCAGGTCAAGTGTTCCCTGAGAAGCTTTGCTTTAAAAACGAAGGAAGATACTGATGTTGACCTCTGGCCTCCAGTCACAAGCAAGCACTCTTGTACACTCGTGTGTATATGCAAATGTACACACGCTCACATGCTCGTGCATGTGCACACACACACACACACACAGACACACACACATACACACAGAGAGAGACAGAGAGGAGGGAGGGAACAGATTGCTCATTTATTTCTGCCAGTTTCAGATTTCTCAGTTACCCCAGCACAGTCTTCCTTCCCAGGTTTATTTTAAAGTCACAGTCTTTCCCACTTCCCACATTGTGCTCAGCTGTCATATCTTTTTAGTTGTCTTTGATTCTCTGGGGACTCTAGGCCATTTTCTCTGCCTTTGAATTAAGAGGCTGGAGGATACATATATGATTAATTGGTTTTGTTCCATGACATCAAGCTTGCTTTTCTGTCTTGAGTCTCCTGTAAACTGAAAGTTAGACCTAGAGACTTGATGCTGTTTCAGGGTCAGCATTTTCAAACAGATTATCCCAGAAACTTCTGGACTGAGGAAGTTCCCTGTAGGCTATTGTAAATAAATATGCTGGCCATGCAGAGGCAGTCCTCTCAGCCTGGGCTGAACTTCCTCCCTCTCTGTCCTGGCAGCATCCCTTCTTCAAAAGCCTGTGGACCATTTACCAACTTCAACACCACCTGGGAGGTTATCCCCCAGACTGTGAGCACCTTCCCCAGCTCGCTGCAGACCCTGATCCATGGCATTACATCAGAAGCATTTGCAGTGCCTTTCTTCATGATCATCTGGTGAGTGACAGCCAGACCAGGCCAGTATTTCTCATGGAGACATACATCTCCTCTCACTTGGGAAATGGAGTTTGTGTGTTCGAATTGTTGGGTCCAGGAATCTTACCTCACAAACCATACAGACACCAATCTCAGTCAGACAGGGATAGTTTATTGAGCAGATGTGTTGTGGTAATTATTTAAATCGGCCTCTGCCTCAGGCCGACTATCTAAGCTGCAGCGGCTCTGCCTCGCTCAGCTGCCATGTTTCTCGATCTGAGGCCATGTGTGCGCTGCAGCTAGAACCGGCCCGCCAGAAACACCAGCCCTGCCCCCCACTAGATGCCAGCATGAGAGATGGCTCTGCCAATCTTCCATGCTGTCTCCGACAGGCAGGGCATTGCCCAGACCATTCCGCCATCCATGTGGGCCCAGTAAGAGAATGAGACTCTAATTCTTATAGATTAATCAAAGGCTTTATATGTTTGATAATGATTAATAACAAGATGCCCATACAAAGAGAGTTGTATCCCAATTAGCTAGCCTAATTATAAGTTTATAAGTTGTTCCCCACGAGTGCTCTCCATACCTGTGTGGTTCTCCATCCTCCTACATCTCTGCCCTCTCTAGCTCCTCCTCTTCCTTTTCCTCCTCTCCTCCTTACTCCTCCTTTTTCTCTCCTAACTCCTCCCACCTTAGCTCCTCCTACACAGATGCTCCATGAATGATTGACCAGGGGCATGGTCCAGATTCGAGAACTGAACCATGACCCTGAGTTAAGATCCTACAGGGGCTTTAAACCCCAGATCCACAAACGTCTTTGCCAAGTTATTCCACCAATCAGGATTTAGGGATAGGGGATTTCCTTAGGAACATGTCTTTGTTGTACATTTATCCTGCTCCCATTGGTTGGGGTATTCAACTGTGGCAGGACTTGCCTTGTCTAACATTCATGTCTTAACTTGCCAACCAGGTTGTCAGTTACCCACTTACATGTCTCTTTCTGCCAAGTAGGATGTCAGTTTCCAGAAAGGTCTTGGGAACTTAAACTTTACTTGACCACCACTCAAAATGGAAGTCTTATTCTAAATAGTTTCTTATATAGGTGCAAGTGTCTCTTATATTGGGGTCCATCCCAGGGGCAGCTTATAAAGGCAAATACCATAAAAGCTTATGCGTAGGTGCAGGAAGTGCTGTTGGTTGATTGGTTGGTTTGGATCCTACCTTATTGTGGGTAACTGTACAAAACAGTACAGTTCTACTTCTGTCAGAAGTTCTACTGACTTCTATCATGATTGGTTTCCAAAGGTACAGAACAGAACAGAATATGTAATCAATCTTGGCATTAGAAAGTTTCCTTTTAATGGGAGGCTTGCCAGGTAACTGTTACCTAGGCCTTAACATTTTACCTAGGTCCCAACAGAATGCTTTCTGCTACTGTGACAAAATACTCGAGAATCAATTTATAAGATGGGAAAGATTTTTATTCTGGCTTAGGGTATTAGAGGCTCCATCCCATGGTCACTTGGCCCTGTTGCCTTGGGGCCTGCATGGTGGGAGCAGGTGGTGCAGGAGGCTTGTTCACTGTCCACTGGGAAGCAAAGAAGAATTCCTTTCAATATCCCCTTGCAGGACACACCCTGTGACCTGCCTTCTTCCTTGAGACCCTATCTCCTCACAGCACCACCTGCTGGGAGCCACACTTTCAGCACAGGGGCCTTTGGGAATGCCCCAGAATGCCATGTGCTAGGGGAATGGTGACTAGACTTAGATCACACATGGGAACTGAACCCCGAGGTCCTGCTCATAAAAACCAAATAAACGTGGCCTGTTCCTAACATCACTGATGATTTGCCTAAATCTCACGCTTTATAGAGAAAAAAAAATGGACCAGTGAACAACAAAGAGACACCAGAGAGTGGCTTGCAGTGATCCCTAGCTCGGCCGTGGCTAAGCCACACTTAACTGCAACTAAGTGTACCCTCTGCCCTCCATGCCTTAACTTACAAATGACTCATAGCCTATGATATCATTAGTCCAGTAAAAGCCCGCTATAGGAAGCAGGTTTGAAAAGGACAAAAACCAAACCAAACAAACAAAACAAAAAACCCCTCCTGAAAAGTGGAATCCTATTCCTTGCTGAGATTAATAAAGTGAATCAGGGATGCTCAGCCGGCTGACCTGGACTTCCCAAGAAGCTGTGTTCCTGCAGCAATGGGGTTAATAGTTTGCTCAGTGCCCCTGGTGGTGAGCATCCGCTCTGCCTTTGCTTTCCTTGGATGCTGTTTCTTGGAGGGACTTAGAGAATCTCTAGATATCCTGGTGATTTTGTCCTCATTTTATCAGCCCTGTGTGGGGACATTAGGCAGGAATGGGGTGGGGGCTCACCCTCTGACCCAATTGGAACTCTCCCTGAAGGTAATCTGTTCCCAGCTGAGACCCAGAGTTGCAGACAGGAAGCTGTTGACGTCTTTTAGTCCTAAACTTGTCGCCAGGTTTTCCTGTACTCATCTCACAGATAAGGAAACTGAGGCCAGAGCACTTGCCCAGGGATCATCCATAGTCAGTCACCGACACCCTGAGCTGACTTTCTAGACTGTTCCTCTCTTCATTTGGCCATTCTGCATGTCAGGGGAGTGATTAGCTCATCGAGTTAAAGACTTATAAGTCAGAGTCTCCTGGCTCCAGCTGTTTCTTAGGCCGTCTGCTTTGGAGATATGAGGAATTGCTTGCTTAGTTATTTTTCCTAGCAAAAGAAAACATAGTTCAGATGAAATGTTCTGTATTGGTTTCTAGTAGCCTGCAGAGATTACAACTCCCCAGTGAGTGTTGGGTGGATTTTAGTGGCCTTAGATGATACAGACTCCCATGTGAGGCCTGGGGTAGTTTTTGTTGGCCTTCAATGATACAAACTTCCCCGTGAGTGCTAGGTGATTTTTTAGTGACTTTCTGGGGCACAGGTGACCTGTCTGTCTTGCTTTGCAGCCTTGTCATGTTCTACTTCATTGCGCTGGCTGGAGCACACAAGCGGGTGGTTGTACAGCTCCGAGAGCAGCTGTCCCTGGTAAGGAAGCAAAGGCCAAAGAGTCATGACTCAGGGCCATTAAACCAAGACTCAGGGCATGGTGACAAAGGCCTGCCACCCTCACACTCAGGAAGCTGAGGCAGGAAGCTTGCAAGTTCCACATATATCTGGTCTACATAGTGAGTTCCACACCAACCTTGGCTTGATGGCAAAACCTTGTTTCAAATAAAGAAAGGCAGGGGGGATAGAACAGCCATCTCTAGTTTCACTTGGTCCATCCAGCACTACACCAGAGAGATGAAGTACGAAAGAGTTAGAGAAGCCAACTTTGGAATGGAGAGATAGTTCAGTGTAAAGTACTGCTGTCCAGGCATGAGGACCCAGGGTCAACCCCATCATCCATGTAAAAAGCCAGGCATCCTGGCCCTCATTCTGTCACCCCAGCACTGGGGAAGCAAAATCAGGTGAATCTCTGGGCTGACTGGCCAACAGGCCAAAACTCCCAGCAAGTTGCAGGTCTAGTTAAGAAACTGTCTCAAAAAATGGTGGACCAGGGAGTGGGAGAGATGGCTCAGTGGTTAAGAGCATTTGTTGCTCTTGTAGAGGACCAAGGCTACTGCAGCCAGCAGCTAGGAAAGGCCTGCTAAAGGCAGTGATGTTAAAAGTGAGATGTGAATTATGGTAATAGCCGGGTCCTGATTAGGGGTGGAGGGCCCAGTGTAGGAATTAGCCAGGCCCTTTGGGGAGACGAGGGGGAGAGAGAGAGAGAGAGAGAGAGAGAGAGAGAGAGAGAGAGAGAGAGAGAGAGAGAGAGACAGAGAGAGAGAAACAGAGAGAGAGAAACAGAGAGAGAGAAACAGAGAGAGAGGAACAGAGAGAGAGAGAAACAGAGAGAGAGAGGCAGAGAGAGAGAGAGAGAGAGAAACAGAGAGAGAGAAACAGAGAGAAACAGAGAGAGAGAAACAGAGAGAGAGAGAGAGAGAGAGAGAGGCAGAGAGAGAGAGGCAGAGAGAGAGAAACAGAGAGAGAGTGTGTGTGTGTGTGTGTGTGTGTGTGTGTGTGTCTGTGAAGGATGAGGTTTGAGGCAGGATAATTCTTTAACACTAGCCAGAAATCATTACATTGCCTGGCAGATCTGATAGGAGGTTTGGGTTTAATGAGTATTTGGGTTAAATTGTTTGTCTATCTGAAACTAGGTCTTTATAGCCCAGGCTGTCCTCAAACACTATATGTAGTCAAGGATGACCTTGAAGTTCTGATCTTCTCCTACATTCACTTCTTAAGGGTTATGGGCATGGACCACCACAATTTATGAAGTGCTGGGGATAGAACCCAGGGCTGTGTGCATGCTGGGCACTGAGCCATATCCTCAGCCCCATGTACATTTCTAGATCTGCAGCTATTGTGTGGACAAGGGGCTATCTATGGTTGGGGCTTCAGTGAGGGAGACAGGCTAGACTGGAAGTCACTGTGGTAATCTCGTGACTAGAATCCCTTACCCTAAGTCAGAGCAGAGACTCACTAGCTCGAAATAGCTTTGTACATTCCTGAACATACAAGATGCCCTTTGAACTGTCCGTCTTTTTAGGAGAGTCGTGACAAGCGTTATCTTATCCAGAAACTAACGGAAGCTCAGAGGGACGTGCGGAGCCAGCCAGCTTCAGCCTGAAGATGCTGCCTGCAACGTCTCAGTACATAACTCTGACGACCCTACCAAGTCCACCTGGGGTTTGGAGTGGAAATGACGTTTGGTGACTTAGCCAAGCAGGCTGACCCCCAGCCTGACCCCCAGGGTGTGGTGGCTCGTTGTGGACTCCACCAAAACACTAACTTCCGCTTCTCAGCCTCTCAAGACCAGATAACGGAGACTTTTATTTATTTATTTTTTGTTTAGACTTCTTTAATTTTTTTTTAAAAAGTTTGTGTTGTTTTTTAGAATAAAACTGAGATTTCTTTGGAAGCCTTTCCAGGCTCAGGGAATATCCTCTCAAATGCCACAGGTGACTTAAAATTAAACCTGACGTCTTTTTTCAAATGAACAGGAATTTTCAGATGCTAAGGCTTAGAACAGCTGATAGGAATGTCGAGAGGCCATTATGGCAGCAGAAAGGAAATCCATCCCTGCTGTGCACCCCAGTCACACTTGAATTCCACTGCAGGTCAGTGTCACCCCCTTGAGGAAGGGACTGGGGCAGGTGGCAGTCTCAGCTTCTCAGCTCTCTGGGACTTTTCTCTAGCCTTGTTCACTCCTCCAGGGAACTTGACCTTAGCCACTGGTTAGCCATTAGCCTTCAGTCGCCATCCGGGCCCAAGTTCTAAGACTTGGTGACAGGACTGAAGAGCAGTATAACCTTGCAAGGTACACAGACAGTTCCTCTCTGTTTTCCAAATGTCATTCCTCTTCCTTGCATGGAACATTCATTCCTGAAGGATATGGAGCATTTCAGAGCCAGGCTGCAACATGCTTTTTGGTATTGGAGCTGGGGGTAAGGATCAGGGGTTATATGTGTGATTTCAGATGTAGGTTCACAGCCTAGCCTGTTCATAAGAACAGCCCATAATACAAACATAGGTGGGGTTCTGATTACTTAAGTACACATTCAAAGGGCTAGGTTTTGTTTGCCTCAGTTTAAAACTTTGTGTGTGTGTACCTTTGTTTTTATAAAACATTACAAAGACAGAGTATCTCTTGAGATCTCCAGTATAGTAAAAACCGTATTTAATAAATACCTCATCATAAGCCTCCTCAGAGGTGACCCTTTTAGTGGTGTCCAATTTGATCTGCTTTCACTTTAAGGTTTTTGTCAGCGTGCTGCAGTCCTGTGATGGACGGGTGGGGTCTTCTACTGTTTTTCACTGGCTCCTAACCTTTAAAATTCAATCAATGTTTTAGAAAGCTGCCAAGGATTTCCCTGCTCTGACCACTGCCTTGTTCCTCAAAAATAATTGGCTTTTCTCTCTGGAAGCAAAGCAAACTTGTTGTGGCTTACATGTCTATGTGTGTATAAAGGGTGCTTTGTCAGGTGTGTGTGTGTGTCCATGGCTTACATGTCTATATGTGTATAAAGGGCCCTTGGTCAGGTGTGTGTGTGTGTGTGTGTG